AAGGTCAACCAATGACCTAGGACCTTAAAATTGGGTATCATCGGCTTCCTCTCGTCACGGGCAACACGCTCGTTTTTTTCCGCGAAGCTCTAGCTCGATCAGGGGCCAAACGGCAAGGGGGGGGTCCAACCGACCCCCCCCCCCCCTACACATTAGAAGCTGGCAAACGCCGCACACATGCGAGGGTTAATGTTGTTGTTATGTTCAAAACCAGTAGCAAGCACACTCCCTGAAACGTGAAATACCTCGTGATACAAATTACCCCACCATGTGATACAACTCACCCAAGCCATGGGGCAAGTTGTATCAAAAACATTGTTCTATTCGGCAGACCGTAGAAGAAAAACTGGTAGAGGTAGCGGAAAAGTTACTTTGCACAAAAAAGCAGAAGAATCAAGGAAGGAGATAGTATGGAAATAATGAGTTTATCACGGATAGTTACGAGGTTATGGGTCTCGGAGTAAAAACTGATACAAGCCACCCCACTCTCCCCTACAGAGTCGCGGAAAAGCGCATTCGATAGCTATTTCAACGCTCTTTCGCTGGCTTGTCCTCATATTTGACCTTAGGTCAACAGTTTAGCCTCCAGAGGGGAAAAACGTAATATAACCGGTTTTACGAAAACATGTTTTTTTGTAACAACTTTTGGCTCACGATATTGATTTTGCTAGCATCGCGTTCCCCTCGTCGAGGCGTGTCAATTGAACTATAATTTGCCATTGAAAGGTCATTTGTAAAATTTGACTTTAGGTCACGGTCACGACCTGACCGGAAATGGTCATGTCGCAAATCAGTCGATCCGTATCGTCGAGCTGAACACAGCTGAGGTGTTTCCACCGCTCTAGCATGTCTCTATCAAAAGTTATTGTTAAAAAAAATTGCTGGGGACCTTTCATGACCTTGAGATGACTTTATGGGCACAAAGAGGGGTCACGGGTGCAATTTCCCTATTCAATGTGTCATGTCATGTCATGCAATTTGTGTCAATTTGTGTCAATGTGTCATGCAATTTCCCTATTCAATGTGTTTCCCTATTCAATGTGTCATGTTTACCCATAAACTGATATTTGGAATGTTTAGAATAACGTCCATCCAAAAGAGGCGTACTTATTTCAATTTTCTCTCATTGCCCTATACCTAATGGAGAGGTCGCAAAATTCACCTGAACTTAGGTCACATATATCAAAATTCCGAGACATATATTTTGTACATACTTTTGCTGTTATCAATCGCTGAAAGTTTCAAAGCGATCGTTCAGTCAGTGTATCTAAAGCGAGCATTGATTTTTTTATGAGGTGAGGTCACTTGACGTGAGGTGACCTGACCTTGAACAATACGAGTAAGGCATAAAACAAATCTCCGAAAGGAAGCTTCGAAACAGAGTGCCTATGTAGGTCGTTCAGTTGTGAGCGGCCAAAGAGAAACGCGGCGGCCGGAGAAACCAATGGGGCTGTCAGTTATGTGGTGATGACGGTGACGAAAGTTCCTAATTCAACGGATGCCCTTTCACTGGCGATTCCAGAGGGTGTTGCATTGGGGGCAACTACCCCTCACCCTAAGCGCTGGAATGTCAGCAATGCGTAATGAATAGGAGTCTGGAGTTATTTAATTCGATTAATTTGACAGGTCCCGCGGAGGATAATTCCACCCATGGAGATCGATTTTAGACGGATAGGTGAATGTTTAGCATTTTGTTGCTGCAAGTAGGTATGCTTCCCGGTTCAGCACGAAAAAGCTCAGCATTAATCAGAACAAAAAACCATAGACGCATATTAAAATTTTTCGAGACGTAAATGAACGTAATGAAAATAAATTCAATCAATATGAGGAAAATGGAAATTTATCGTTAAGAATTGAAATCACATGGTTTTCTGCCACCAAACTTACCTGGAAATAGTGGAGCTTATTGGGGGATCAGGTCCAGAAGAGCTGCATTCAGACTCTTTCGAGATACATATAGCACCATCGCATTTCACCTTCACATAGGTTTGCGATGATTCAGATGAAATCGTTGCTTGATTCAGCCTGTCTTTTTCCTGAGTAGTACTTCTAGAGCTATTATCGCTGCAACGTTTGTCTTTATCCGCTCCATTACCTGCTATCGTTTGTGAAATATCCGCCGATTCACTGTTAATCGTACTGATTTGATTTTGAAATGCTTCGATTCTTTGATGTGCGACAAGAAGTTGCTGCGTGCTTTCCATCCATTTTCGGTTGGCATCAACCACCCACACAGGATTGCAAAGCACTGCAAGATTTTCCACGATAGTTGCCAGGTACGCCATGAAGTATAAATGTAACAGTGCAAGAGCTTGGCTCCACGAATGTGGGCCGAACTATTTAATGAGAGATGATAATATATTGAAACAAACAAACAATAGTTCTCTAACACGAGTCATTTGCATAAATCAAAGGCAAATGAATATTTTCACGAACGTCGATCTGCGCTGATCGGCCCGAATAATCAACGAATAAAATTTGCTCTTTCTTTTAGCCTAGTTTCTCGTTTTGAACAGAAACACGATGCTTTACATTTTCGGTTACCTCGTTCCGTGCAGAAAACATTTTGAGAGTTTACACCAACAATAAAATGGAATTTTCGGTTCTTGATTACAAGATGAACATTATTTTTCTTTAACATTTTATTTTATTCGAAGTAGAGCTAGGGTGACAAGCATAACTATAATCAGGTGTCTTCAATTAGTCGGAAATTAAAGTTAGGTATAGCCTGTGCCCTCAATGAATTCTTTTCTGAGAAGAATGTAACATGTTTAAATACTTATATCACAATGCTGTGCATTGAGAATGTGCAGTGTGCAGGCCATTTGTAGGTATACGAGCGCAGATAAAAAGTCACCCGACCAATTTTAAAAGCATATTTTTATATCCCCTTCACATTGGCCGCGACTTCTGCCCTGGTCTGCGCAGTACAATGACCGCAGCGTTTGAAAGAGCGTCGAAGCATGAAGGAAGTGCATGAGTTGCGATTCTGTCAGGGCTTTTAAATGTCGGACATTTGAGTCTTACGGCTACGCCCCCTAGCCTACCAAGAACTCAGCCTAACCCTAACGTCGGAGTTAATTAACCCGCCCCGGGCCGGGGGGGGGGGGGGTGTATGAATGACAGGGGCGGATCCAGAAAATCTCCAAGGGAGGGGCCATTAGAAACCAGGAGGCCCCCATAATCCCACCTGTTGGAGGCCCCATCTTCCCACTTGTTGCCCCCCCCCAAAAAAAAACTGCGTCTATTGAGCTTATCTAGCTGTTCAGGCAACACCTCAACATGAATAAACGAATTATGAAATAAATGAACGAACGAGAAATAACTAAGTGGGTAGGTTAAAAAAAAAAAACTCATCGGATTTCGGCCACTTTATTTTCAGGAGGCCCCCTTTTCAGCTTTTTAGCTTTTTAACTTTTTATTTTATTTTTGAAAAAAAAAAATCGGCCAAGGGGGGGGGCCATGGCCCCCATGCCCCCCCCCCTTGTATCCGCGCCTGATGAATGAACACCCCCCCCCCCTGCGGTTGCACCGCCGTTTTCGGCACATTTGTTCGTGCATCTTTTCCGCACATGTTGTGAAAATTTCAGACCCAGGTCGCCTTAGGTCAGGTCACCAGGTCACGCCAAGTGACCTCACCTCAGAAAAAAATATGAATGCTCGTCATAGCTACACCGATTGATCGATTGCCTTGAAACTATCAGCGATTGTTAAGAGCAACATTATCTATAAAATATTAATCTCGGAATTTCGATATCGGTGACCTAAGGTCAGGTCCACTTTGCGGCCTCTCCAGTCTCCATTACCTATACGTGTAAGTCAATGAGAGAAAATTGAAAAACGTATGTTTTGCACGGACGCTATTCTAGACACTCTCAAACATAGAGATGTAGGTAAAATTGACACACTGAACCGGAAAATGGAAACTGTGACCCCTCTGTCCCCGAGGTCATCTCAGGTCACGAACAGAATCTAACAGTTTTTCGCTAATAACTTCTGATAGAGGCGTGCTAGAGCGCTGAAAACGCCTTAGATGCGTTCGGCTCGGCGTTGCGGTTCGACTGATATGCAACATGACCTTTTCCGGTCAGGTCATGACCTTGACCTGAGGTCAAATTTTCAAGTTGACCTTTCAATGTCAACTTATAGTTCATTCGACGCGTCTCGACGAGAGGAATACGATGCTGGCAAAAGTAATGTCATGGCTCTTTTGAGTCAAAAGTTATTGCCGAAAAAAAAAACACTTTTTGTTAAAACGGCTATTTTTGGAGTTTTTGCCCTCTGGAGGCTAAACCGTTGACCTGAGGTCAAATCTGAGAACATTACTCAGAAAGGTCTGTAAAAGGGCTATCGAATGCGCTTTTCTGCGGCGCTGTAGCTCTATCGATTCTCGAGATAGCCGTTGGCAGTTTCCAAAATGGTGAAATAGTCAACATTTTACCTTTGGTGACCTCTGGTGACCTGACCTTTGACCTGACCCAAAAAATGACTCAAATGTTTTCGTCCTTATTTTGGACGCTCTTTCGATTGCCCCTTACCGCGTGTCGCTACCTGGCCCAGGAGCCGAGTTAGAAGAGGGGTGGGGGGTGTTCAGACCCCCCCCCCCCCCCACCGGCCCGGCGCGGAAGCTCAGAGCACCGGCCCGGCGCGGGTTAATGCGCCGTCAAGCCGATCTCTGGGACCCCCGAGCCGGCGTCCCCGAGCACACAATACACGTATTCAATCGAGACAAATCATTTATGGTGCTCGTAGTTTCGTAAGCTGACATTTCCTTACTCGCACTTGAACTGCACCCTGGGTGCTGACGAGTGTGGACCGACATATCATAGTGATGGGAGGCATCGATAAAAAAGACGGCATAAAATATTTCCGTGGTCATCTACGACAAGTTCAGCCTAAACGGCCTGTATTTAGCATTTCGTATTTCGCCGTCCTTCTATGTGCGAGGTTCTTTGATATCTCCAGGAGTCCCAAACCAGAACCGCATTCAAACTCAGTGATTCTCAAGCGACAATATTATTCAAAGTCTGACTACGTGTAGACACAGTGCAACATTGGTGTAACAGACTCGCAGCTCGCTGAATAGGACTGAACCAGTAAGCCGGGAGCACAGAGAGATAGAGAGACATACCAGATCAGGTACACCGCCCGCCGGATCAGCAGAATCGCCGACACTTCGCACCGATTACGCAACGCATCGCACAATGGATAGCGCTGTCGAATACTCTCCACGAATACTCGCAGAAAATCACTGCTATGCATAACAACTATACGGCAAAATTCACGTCACATTTGCAATGATGTGTGGTCCGACCGTCCCCCCCCCCTCCCTACCCGATCCCCTGGCAAGTGGTGCAACAAAGAGCTCAACACAGATCGGCAATCACAGACGTGACGAGGCTCAGCGGCTGCGATCGCGACACCAGCGCCGCCCGGCGGCCGCCAGGCGAACCATTCACTAGACCGCTGCCACTAGGTGGCGGTGGGAGCCCTGAGAGCGGTGCCGGTCGCCGGCGGCGGGCCGGGCCGGCCGTCAGTTGATGGAGGGCGCCGCGCCGTGCCATCGGACGTCGATGCGCGGCCAGCGGCTCTGCAGGCAGGTGAGGATGGTGCTGTTGGCCGTGGAGCTCTGGACGTCCGTCTCCAGAAGACAGGCGTCCCCCTTCACCAGTCGCACCTGTCGATACGGGAGGGTCAGAGGGGTCAGGAGAGGACATCCTGTCCCCTTCACCAGACGCACCTGTCAATAGGGGAGGGTTAGAGGGTTGCTGATAGTAAACATAGCCACGCTGTCTGTTAATGTGGTGATTTATCGTTAACACCATAACACACCGCTCCAGTGATCCCTCACCCCCCCCCCCTCCCCCCGCCGACGGCTGACCGGTCACTGACCTTTCCGCCGGGGTTACTGCGCGTCAGGCCGTTGTAGTGGTAGACAGTGAAGGAGTCGGGCGGCCTGCCGTCAGCCGTCTCCGGGAAGAACTCGTCCAGGAAGGGCACCTTGAGCACGATACCCAGCTGGTCGGGGTCCAGCTGCCGCCGCATCAGGTCCACGCTGCGGGGACGGGCGGATACATCGGTGAGGGTGACCGGTGTCACTGGAGAGGATATGTGCCTCGGGAGGCGAGCTTCAGCTTACTATGAACGAATGAATGAATGAATGAATGAATGAATGAATGAATGAATGAATGAATGAATGGGTGCATACATAAAGGAATATGTGTGAATCGATGAATGAATGGGTAAATGAATGAGCAAATGAATGAATCAATGAATGGGTCAATGAATGAACGAGTGAATCGATGGATGGACAAATGGATACACGGCAGATTGACGAATGAATAAATGGCCATATAACAAAACGAATTGGCCATTATTTCAGGTCCCAGGGGTGGAACGCCGGCAGCCACCCACTCACTATTCCTCCTCGGCTACCAGATCGCAGGCGGCCATCAGCTCGGGCAGCTGCGAGGTGGGCAGGAAGCCAGCCTGATCCTTATCCAGCGCGTCAAACGACCGCTGCGCCACCTGGCGGGCCGACGGTGGCGCCGTCAGGCGGCCGTCCGGAGAAAACAGCACTGAAACACAGTATGCATCGTATGAGTATCGCTCAACAAAGTTGCCCAATCATGGGATCAACGAATTATCATATCAGTAAGACAATCAGGTCAAGGTAAGCTGAGCCCACCCAGGTATCACGCGACGGTCCGGCCCCTCCCAGATTGCGGCTGACCTGTGAGGTGTGTCTCGGAGGCCAGTACCCAGACGGGGTAGCGCGGGTTCTTGAGGTTCCAGCCGACGGTACAGTAGTGCAGCCGCTCCAGCAGCGTCAGAAAGCCCACACTGGGCTGGGAGACAACCCCCTCCAGCGCTGATAGGCGACAGAGGAGGACACGTGACAGCAGGTGGCAGAGAAGTGGCAACAGTGTCGTGAAGACGAGCGATATACTAATCTGTATTATGTTCGAAAACCCTGGCCAGGATGGAGGGAATCGATTGAATCTTTAGCTTTGGCATCATTACACAATACACATACACAACTGATTCACCTCACTGGAGAAATGGCACGACTCAAAAACCAAGACAACAGCACATAAGCCTTCTAAACAATAAAACCCACTCAAAAGACAACACGATCCCCCACTGACCCGTTCGCACCCTGATCGGCTGCGGACAGCCTGATGAGACCGCCCCTTCTCAGCACCCCACCGGCCTCCCGCCCGCTCCCTGCACTGACCGATGCCACCGACGTACTTGACGTTGTCCCAGACGTGCGCCACGGCGCGGCCTGTGACCAGCAGGTTGGTGAGACTCTGCGAGCCGTGGCCGTGCACGGGGTCGACCAGGGCCTCCTCCGAGTCGCCCATCTCACGGCGCAGCCGGCCCGCGCCCTGGGGGGGGGGGGGACGGAGGTCAGGGGCGGAATATGGTCCAGGGGGTCGCCTAAAGATGAATGGGCTCGGCGGTAGCATGACGACGTCTAATTCTGTTGGAATTGCGACTATCAACCTTAAAAATAGTTATTAGGATAAGTTTTTTTTATTTCATTGCCCGATGCATCGCCCAACTATGCTTCTCAAATGACACTGGTCTAAAATATATTGACAATTAAAGGTCCGCATAGGCCGGCTGCGGCTACGGCTGGCTGCATCCAATTCCATGCAGCTATGGGGCTGCAAATATCTCCAAGAGCACGGCTATAGCTGTGGCCACGGCTGGGAGATTTTCAGCCAAATTTTACATACTATTATTTAAAACTGTACCTTATGAAATTTACAATGAGCAATCTATCCTGGCTTTAAATATGCCAAAATATGCCACAGCAACTTTGAAAGTGGTAGAACAAAAACAAACTTATGATGGCTTTATCATTAACCATTACATATTTGCAAATATGATGAACACTGCATAGGGCATGTCTGGGTCAGATGACTGATCATTGACTAGATGAAGTACCCGGGTGAAGTAGACGAGCTCCGCTTTCTGACGAGGAATTCATAGGTTGTCTCAGCAGTGCTACTCCATTGTCTGAATGTCGCCACTACATTTTGGGCCATCCTGCTGTCCATTGGCCGAGCTGGAGGACTTTGGTGGGCGGCGATGACAGGCCATGTCCTCAGAAAGACAACGACTTCACCCAATACAGAGAGAGAGAGAACAAAATAGTTGTTCTAACGATAGGGTTCATATTCCCTACTTCCCTTTGCCCCCCCCCCCGACAAACGCCCCCACCGCTCCAATGAGTCAGTCTCCGAGTGTAGCGTCAGCCCTAGCTAGTTATCACTCCGCTATCAGAGCCGACTGTGTCCGATTTAATGTCGAGACGCGCAGAGCGGACGCCAGTCACTGGCAGTCGACACGAGACCCGGCACGGTACCAGTGTCCTGTCGCCTGGTGTTGGAGACAGTGCCCTGTCGCCTGGTGTTGAAGACAGTGCCCTGTCGCCTGGTGTTGAAGACCGTGTCCTGTCGCCTGGTGTTGAGCCCCGTGACACCGAGTCTGACTGACCACCGACCCTAGCGTCTCACCATGGCGCAGCTGGAAGTGCTGGTGGAGACCTGCTCCCACCCGCTCAGCTTCGTGGTGAAGAGGAAGGCCACCGGTCGGCACCTGTTCAACAAGGTGGCTGGCCTACTGGGGCTGAACATGACGCATCTCTTCGAGTTGCAGTTCCTCGACCGCAAAGGCACGCGCACGTGGCTACGCGCCAGCGAGATCCTAGGCGGCCGCCGTTTTCGCAAGGAGTCGCCGCTGCACTTTCGGTTCATGGTGCGCTTCTGGCCGAGTGACGTGCCGGCTCACGTGACCGACGAGCAGGCACTGGCGCTGCTCTTCCGACAGCTGCAGGCGGCCATCGGGAGCGGCGAGCTGGCCTGTCCATTCAGCACGGCCGCCCAGCTGGCCGCCTATGCCGCCCAGGTGCAGTTCGGCGACTACAGCGACCACTGCCGCCACACGCACTACCAGGACAGCGTCCAGCCGCCCACCGTCGTCGGGCCGCAGGAACACCGGTGCTCGCTGACTGGCGAGGCGCACGCCGCCTGGCAGATGAAGGTGGCGTGCCTGCACAGAAGGCTGACCGGGACCTCACAACGCGAGGCGCTGACCAAGTACTTTCAGCTGGCGCAGGGGCTGGACGGGTACGGCGTGACGTACTTCGATGTGACCACGGAGCGCGGCGACCACGTCTGGCTCGGGGTTACTGCCCACGGAGTCGGCGTCTACGAGGTCAAACTGACGCCGAAATTCTCACTGTCCTGGACGGACATTCAGACCATCAACTACGATGGCCACAAGAAGATCAACATCCAGTCGTGCTGCCAGTATCAGAAGTTCGTTTTCTACATGGCTCGAGAACAGGACTGCGTGGACTTCATGGTGTTAATTTTTGGCTACGAACGGCTGGGAATCTCTCAGCCGAAATACAGGCCCTCATCCTCCACGCCTTCTGTGGGAGAGACGGCTCCACCATCGCCTGGCCAGCAGGTTTCAGAGCGTGCTGACGGCAGCCAGAGAGCCGCCGCCAGCGCGGCGAGTGAGGACATCAGCTCGACCAACAGCAGTACGCCTGCCTCGTCCGGGTACGGCGAGGGACAGCTTTCAAGAAGTGAAACGATGGAATCGGATGAAATCATGGCCGCCGCGGCGAGAGAGGAGGCGATTGAAGCTGATGTCAAGATCCTGCAACATGAAGAAGTGGGTGGCGCCGAGGGCGGGGCTGAGGCAGCCGGTGGCTCGGAAGACGACTGCGACAGCGACTTCAGCCAGGGACTTATCAGCGTTTTGAATGAGAGGTTCGCCGCCCTGGGAAGCAGCTTTGGCAGCAACTCTGCCCAGTCTGTGAGCGACACGAAGGAGAGGTTGACTGGCAGCGGCGTGGAGCTGGCTCAGAGCGATCCTATCTACGTAAACTGGCCACAGCCCGAGAGGGGCGACTCAATGACTCCGAGGCCGCGGCACAGAGACCGATTTGAGTCGAGCCTGTCCCTCTCTGAGACTGAGAGCTGGGGCGCCTTCAACCAGAGCCTGATGGCCCCCGACTGACGCCGCATCGTCTCACGGACATCTCAGCATTGTTATGGCAGTGTGGTTGAGCGCCTAACACTTTCCTGCGAAAGCAGCATGAAGCAAGGCATGATTGGGTCTCACGCATCGCGATCATTTATGACAGTGTTCAGGAACAAGGCTGACGAACAAAGCTGCAACTTGCAAGCATTGACACATCCCGCTTACAAGCATCTAAGTAAGATACCATACCATACCATACCATGTTGTGGTTCACTATACTGCCTGATTCGATTAGTTGTTATGCATGCTCCTATATTTCATGTTATTGCTGGTGAAGCAATTGTGGTGCGGGGGCCGATACCGACTCTTGGCAGCACATACTGCGAGCCGTTCATGTCACTCAGCTAACGTTATCAAGTTGTCATAGCACTGTAACCAGTTTTCCGTCGATTTACGGTCGGCGATCATCCCCCACTGCTCATCTGTGAGCTAATGTGTAGCTGTCAGCATGCAAGCACTTGCAGTGATTGTGATAATTAAGGTGCTGCATGATCTGGGCGTTCGATCATGCAGCAAGAATAACAGTTATATCAGAATATTACTGACGACGGATATCTCAATCGCCGATTCTGAACTTAGTGTGACAAAAGAACTATCTGACAGTTCAGCCGCTATATGCGAAGAGTATATCAGAATCAGGAGGATGTTAATATATTGGTTTGGCATGAAAACAGAGTTACCTCACCTTCCCAATGCGCAGAGGTAGTCTGTGTCTAAGTGAATCACCAGGGCCAGTGATTCGAAGCTATCCACTAGAGTTCAGTGGCCGGCAGGTTATGCGAGGTCGTGTCCCCGTTATAGGCGCCAGGCAGGGCCCTTAACCCCACATACCAGACCCTATAGCTGATACACCCAGGTTTAATGAAATTACATACCTTTCCTTGACTCTGAGTATTTCTGCATTTCCGTAGGTCAGGGGCGGAATAAGGAGAGAAGAGGAGAAACATGCAGGCAGACAGCTTAAGAGGCGCCATGTTGTAGTATGTGCCTAATCGCCTATCATTGACAAATCAACCTTGAAATGAATATACACAAGTGACACAAGTGTGTTAGTACGGCGAGTATTCCATTTCAGCGTTTGATGTATCACAAAAAGAACCACGAAGTCAAACAAACGTTCCAACGAGTCCCAATAGCACCAATAGCTCAGTGAGGTAATGCCTATGATGATGCACTATTTAAAACCGATTGCCATTATTTCTGAACTATAATATACCCGTATGTAGAATTATTAACTACCCAGCATCCATATAACCTTCCCTGTGGCTCATCCCCTCCGCTTACCTACCTTGGTCTGTATGAGAGAGTAGAGGAACGCCAGGACGCCGCTCTCCGCCCGGTACGAGGGCAGGTTCTTCCGGAAAAAATCCGCCACCTCCGCCTCAGTACTCAACTCGAGGAGCCTGAAACAGTGAGATCATCAGGCGTTATATGGCGGTTGAGCTTCTTCAGTCAGCTGTGGAGGAGGCAGCCATGCAGCAATGTCAATTATAGCTCATATATGCTTATATATCGTTGTCCAATAACAATCGACGACGTTTCTGCAGATACCTGTTATACGTAAACTGAGACAGAGTTCACAGGCGGCCATACCAGCACAGTTGGTTCTCCCTCCACCCCTACTTACCGGAGTGTGGAGTGGAAGCCGGCGGGCTCAATCCGCCGCCGCTTGGAGGGCAGTCCGGCCGGGCGTTCCTCCGGCGACCGGCCGCCCTCCCCGGGACTGGCCTCCCGCCCGGGGGAGTGCCGGCACCCGGGGCCGTCCTGCGCGCCGTCCTCGGCACCCTCCGAGGGCGGGTCGGACTCGGGTACCACCAGGCGCGCGCTGCCGCCCTCTCCGGCGCAGCGGCACAGGATCTCGGCCAGTGACACGGCCAGCAGCTCGTCCGCCTCCCCAGCCGTCACCTGCGGCGCAACAGTCGGCTCACACAGCCGTCCGGCAGCACGTGTACTGGGGCTGCTGTGGTGCATATTGCAAATGTTGTCGATTATGAATATATGAATATGATAATGAATTATGAATATATGATTATGTCTTCTCGCTTTGAATTGTATAAAATATAGATGAAAGGATCACACAAGTAGGTACCTACTGCACATAACAAAACAAAAATAACATAACATAACATAACATATATTGATTGCAACGACAGGCCACTGGTGCCCAACATGGCTGCAACATAGATACATCAAAAGAAGAACACTAGCGTCAAATGGCAAAACATATTCTATATAAACAGCTTGCCTTTTGCCAGGAGTCACCAAAATCTTTGTACATGTTCTTGAAGATGTGAGCCTGTATTGGTGCGATAATACTGCATGGTCCACCTTCGTACTGCACCAAGGCAAACGGCTCATCTGTGCTAAACACAAAACCTGGAATGGCCAGAAGGATGGTTTGATGCAAACCATTACATAAAAACAACAACATATTTTCAAAAAAATCTAGCCTTCTTGAGCTTCAACCATACATACACTGAAGTATTTAATACTATCAATGCAGATAGAAATGAAAAATTATGTTGAACATCACCATATTGCCAAGGCATATGCAAATGCAAAATATCTGCTTGTGTTCACCTCTGAATGAGAAACTTGTTAAAGGGACCCTCCCACCTTAACATTAGATTTGAGTTGAGATAGCCAAAATGGGGTCCCTGGCTCACAATTACCGGTTTCGGCACTCACAACATCGAGAAATGCCTTAAATCGGAAATATTGAATTTCAAAATTGCAGCATTTTGATTCAGAGGGGCTAATGCTTAGGAATACCCCTCTGAATGTGTGACGTCAGCGCAGATATCTAACGGTTTTTAAATGTTTGACTAAAACGTTTTGTAGCACGCGGTGGTATATGCTATTTGCGCGCAACATCTGCCGCAAACGCCGCACTTCTAAAATAAAGTCGCTAGAAACAGCGGAGATCCCAAAAAAGTAAACAAAAGTAAAAGTATAATATCTTGAAAACCGGTGAATATTTTTCGGTGAAATTTGGTAGATATTCGTTTTCGCTCTTTCTGAACCGAGCAACATCACTTCCATGCCAATTCATAAACTTTTTTGAAGGTGGGAGGGTCCCTTTAAGCATTCTTGATAGTGTTAATACCTACCATACAACTGCTGAAAGCAATTATTTCGTAACAATCATGTCGTCAATGTTAATGTCACTTGACGAAGTCACTCAACGCAGCTTGAACCTGATGCCTTAATATTACAATCGTCTACTTATACATATTTTATCATTTAAGCTCAGAATACCACCTAATTTATAGACAAAACACACCTTGCCATGAGCATTTGCATCCCAAAATTAGGTATTTAACATTTTGATTTGTAAATCCAGACACAAACCTTGATTCCAACGGTCAAACACAGACTGATTTATTTCTTGGCAGCCCCAAACTATTGACAAAACTGGTTCTGCAGAGAAACTAGATGAACTTAAGGTTGCCATTTGATCATTAACTCATCAAAAATGGAAGGAAATTCGCTTCAGCCTTGGCTTCAGCCAAATTCATAATGCACAGAATGCACCTCTCATAAACAGAGCGCCATAAATGTATCAACCGAGCCATCACCCAAGGCCCTAGAAACCTAGCCTTACTATTTGTAAAACAGCCACTGAAAAGTCCAATGACGTCATATTCCTCTCGGCGAATTACTTCATTTTCTTCTTTTATGTTTAACATAAAACTTTGCACCCATTGTACTTTTTAAATAATTGTTCCTCTTAAAGGCTGTGATTCTCATGGTGAAGCTGCTCAATTCCCTACTACAGGGGTTCTGCTCCTTCTCTAGGCCACGGCTAATGTGAGAGCCTTCCTCGCTCCTGTGAGAAAATCACGGTCGCCGTGAGGTGCGACCCGCGCTGCCGAGGTGCATGATCGAGCTGAACGCGGCCTGTGTCGCCGCCATGGTGGCACAAGGCTCGTAACACCACGCAGCGGCAGCGAGGACCAACTCCAGCTGGCCTTGGCCGAGGCCGGCGCCGTGATGAAACCTCCCCACCCGCACGCACCGGCGAGGCGGCAAGGTGTGGAAATCTACGCACAAGCAGTGCCCGACCCTCGGGACAGAGCGGTGGCGAAACCGGGTCAGCGTGGGACGACACAGCCCACGTCGCACCTACAGCTGTGCCGCGCGGCGTGCGCGCTCTCTTCCACATGAACATTATGCAGTTGATTGTATTAATTGCACGGCCTTGGATCGGAACAGGTTTATATCTTTGTAGCACTGTATAACATATGATTGGCGCCGCGTGACGCGCGCGTTTCTTCGACGTTTAAAATATGTAGTTTATTGTATTTATGTCGTAAGCACTGCATTGGATTGCAACAGTTCTTATTCTTTTGCCTGGAATACGGATCATATTATTTATTGTCTGTTGATAATGGATTACGATGTATTCAACGATAGATACGTGCGTAATAACCTATTGCAGGACCGACATCCACAGACTGCAGGTTGTACAGTACTTCAGAGTGAAATAGGCGAGGGCCTGTGTGTCAAGGAATGTTCAGCATCTTACGATGGTTTCACGGTTTTATCCCAAAGCAGAAAACATGATGCGAAATGCATTATTTGGCGGTTGTATTATGTACGTTTAAAAATGGCAATGTACCATTACGATAAACGATACGGGCCTTCTGGTACAATAAACAATGATGGTGTACCGGGTCGCATTGTTTATTGTGATGATTGTAACTGCTAACAAAATTGTGATCTTAGGTATATCAAGTGTGACCTTTATCATATCTGGTGTTCTGTATGTAGCGCTGTCGTTTTATCGCTTCGTGAGTTACTAGCACTTGTTTCGCATATGATTCAGTTCACGAATAAGAAAGGATTCTTTCGGCCACACATGTAGTTATAGGTATATGTTTGGTCAGGTCAGGTGTGTTATTTGTATATGTTTTACCGCGGACCTTCGGATACTGTGAAAGTGCGCGGGTCGTGACGTCACCCTGCGTGTGACGGTATAAATACGCGCGCGTGGCGTAGGTCGGGGCTCGGCTCTCGGCTCTGGATCGCTCCTGCTCACGCTCGCTGGCACTCGCCCGACTCGACTCGGCCGGGGCAGTGCTCTTGCTCGACCTCGCCACGCTGCGATGTGAGTACCGGTGGGACACCGGTCCAGTCAGGACCTGTTGTGCCCGAGTGACGCAGTAGTGTTTTCGTCACTGCGCGTGTAGCGGGTAACATTGCGCCTGTCTGCCTATTGCCTAGTAACTGTGCTTTTGCACAGTTACTAATCTCATGTCTATAATAGCCTGTAATGTAATATACCTGTTCCAAGGCAAAGCAAATTCTTTGTAGTTTGTAACGTTTACGTCTGAAAGAGACGACTTCTTGAAGAGGTGGTGCTAAAAATAAACTTTCATACTCCTAGACAAACGACCTGCTCAGCAGACACTTCACGCGTGAAGCCAAGCTGGCAAAGTAAAACAATAAAAATTCACACTGGGGGCTCGTCCGGGATGACTTGAATCTGATCGATCAAGGGACTAGGGACAGGTTTAATCAGTTTCTTTGCATTAGTGATTGTCTTGACTCTTGATACAGGCACAATGACACCCGATTTCAAATCTCAGGCACTCAGGCTCCTGATCAATCTCTTGATGAGATTGATTTGTCTTTTGGTTCTTTTTACTGTACTGATCACTTTCACGATCGGTTGTGCTGGGTTGCAGTTGCAACCCAGGATATTCCTAATTCCTTGGCACATCGGATATTTCTGTCGCTGGTTTCTTATTCCGAGAATGAACTGCTTGGCAGCACACGGGGTGTGTGATGTTCTAATTTAGTTAGAATTTGAGACGGCAGATGATATTTGACATTGAACATTTTTATATTCGATTTGATTTTGAATTGTCGGTTCATAAATGCTTATTTTTGATTTATTTTATAAATAATTTTTGTGTTCCTAAACCAATGTTTATTCTACTTCCAATTAGAAGGAACAATGTTTTCTTTTTGCTCGTAATTTGTCTACATTCAGTTACACATTGGTGCATAATTTAATGGTAAGCCGATTTGCGTCGATGCTTATTTGATGCACCAATTATTGTGAGCAAATGGATTTCATTCAAATGATGGCTATTTAATAGCAGGGTTTGTGCGACGGTGGCTAAATTTAATATCAGGTTTCGTGCGACGGAAGGTGTTCTTGGTTTGTTTCCTTTCAGTTGTTATGTTGACCTGCTTTGGTTCTGAAGCGATCGCTTCCGTCGAATCGGTTCACGGTCAGGCGCCCCAGCCGAAAGCGAGAGCTGAGCCGCGTATTCACTTTCATCTTCAACATCGCTGCGTGGTGCGTGAGGAAAACCGGGGCAGCCGACCGGCCGAGACGGACCGATCAATTTCTTTCGTGATTAAAATTCATGGTAACATCGTCTGACATGTCTCGTGATGCTTTGAGATGCCATTCCGGCAACATTATTCTTAAAGGTCATTGAAGAATATAAAGCCGTGAGGCATCATAATATTTGCTGACTCAGATAAGTTAGTTAGATTTGCCAGCCGCTCGCGTGCTCTGGGATGCCGGGTGTAGAGAGGTTAATTTGGAGTGTGCGCGCACCAGGGATGGCTTTCCCCCCTCTCTATCGACCGGATTTGCGTACGGGCAGAATCCCCCGAGGGCCTACGCACTACACGCATCTGCCTGGCCCGCAGATGGCCTGTAGAATGGCATCGCCAGTGACGTTGAACCGGTGTAGCTCTGATTGGGAAAGGTAGAGGCTACAGGCAATTATCTGCGTCAGATCCTTCTCTTCTCATGTTCTAGATTCATGGGAAACCCAACACAGGGGACCTCCGGCACGAAGGCGGAGGACGGAGCAGGCACCACTCCGGGGAACCCTGCCGCCGTCGGAGGAGAGGAGGAGTATTATGATGTGGTCAGCCAGTACGGCACGGCGGGCAACCAACGACCTCGTCTGGAGGTACTCGGCGCCAATACAGGTCAGTCCCGGTCACATGAGGTGGCGAGGGGTGAGATAGTCGGTCAAGAGCACATTGCACTATTTGATTCTAATCGAGGCACGGGTCAATACGATTCGTTCGTGTTGCGCAACCTCCCGGTCTTCAAAGGTGAATATAACGGTACTGCCGTTACTGACTGGGTGCAAAAGGTTGATTTACTTCTGAAACTCACGGGAACTCCCGATGAGTCGATTCTGCCGCTGTTGGCACTGCGCGTCGAGACGCAAGTATTGAGCTTCTTGGAGAGCCTTCGCAATCGTTTTAGCCCCTCTCAGTACAACTGGGCCAGGGTTAAACAGGCTCTACTTAAACAATATGGAGGCGTGGTCAACCTTAGTAAGCACGTCTCTCAGCTCCACTCCGCCCGCATGGGTCGCGAAACTCCAGTACGGAAATTCGCTCAGGAGGTGGAAAGACTGGCTCGTCTTGCGTACCCTGAACTTGTGCGTGATACGGGCACCGCAGAGCCACGAGAGGTCCAAAGAGGTATTATGAACCGCATCACTCTCGAACAGTTCGTGACGGGACTACCTCCGATGTTGAGCCGTTCACTCGTCGAGCGTCAGATTGAAAACTTTGACGAAGCTGTCGATCTGGCTGCTCATTTGGAGGACGTTAATGCTCGATACTTTAAAAAGGCAACCATCAACGCTATGTTCGATGCTGAAGAATCAGCTCAGCACAATGCCGGCCTCTCTGGGCGAGGACAGTTGCAACGCACCAATCGTCGACCTTCTCGCAAAACAAAGCAAAGGTCAATGGGCGGCCGACAGCCTCAGATGGACGCCAGACAGCCTCGGGCTAATACGTCGTCCTCTGAATGCTACCGGTGTGGACAGGTGGGACACTTCAAAAGAGACTGTCCAATGCAGTACTCTCACAATGGTCAGCCGGGTCCCTACTACGAGAAAGGACCAGTGTGTTTTATCTGCGGAGACGGCCATCCGACAGCAGCCTGCACAAACATTGTTTGCGCAGCATGCAAACAGACTGGACACCCAGCCAATCACTGTTCAAAAAACTTGCAGGGCCTTCCTTCAGCCACCACCACCCATTGCAATTGATGCGTTTGTCGACGGATTCGCACGAAGTGTCTGCTCCAATTGACAGCGGCGCTTCACATTCGTTGATAGATAAAAACGCGTGCGAAAAGATGTCAATCCAGCAACTAGTTGAGCCCCGCCTCATGTTCGAAGGCAACTCCGGTTGACTATCGAGCAGGCGCTGGGCGCGTGACTCTCTTCTAACTCCGCGGAGTTAGATGATGGTAGGTCACGCAACTGAGAGAGAGTAAGAGAGTGAGAGAGAGAGAGTGAGAGTGAGTGAAAAAAAGAGAGAGAGGTAGAAAGAGAGGGAGAGTGTGAGTGAGAGTGAGAGAGAGAGAGTGAGAGTGAGTGAGAGAGGTGAGTGAGAGAGAAAGAGGGGCAGGGAGAGAGAGAGAGAGAGAGAGAGAGAGAGAGAGAGAGAGAGAGAGAGAGAGAGAGAGAGAGAGAGAGAGAGAGAGAGAGAGAGAGAGAGAGGCAGTTTGATGCGATTGCTCAGACAATCGTCAATCAAAAAGCTTCTCAGTCTCACGAACGAGCGTGTGTTCAACCGGCATGCCGGAGATAAATCCTACAAGATGGGAGTCGGGAGACCTTGTCTACCTTTATCGACCCGTCACCAATCCTGGTAATGCCTCGAAATTAACTAGAAAGTATGAGCCCGGCTATGTGGTAAGTGATTACCATTACAAGGACACAGCTGCGGGTCCGTAAGCCCGGTTCAAAGAAACCGCGAAAAAAAAAAGTGCACTGTGACCGACTGAAACCCCGCCCAGTCTCCCATGTGTATCGGGATGGCCAGAGAAAGGCTGCGATGCAGTTCAGATCTGTGCAGATCCCAGTCGCTGCCAATGAAAGGCAGGATATAGTATAGAAGCCCGGCTACAGAGAGCCTGGGGCAGGGTGAATTTTCTGAGCTAACGATACCGCTTCGCCGTTCCGCTGTTGGAACCAGGATCGAGCGCAACTCTCGATCAGGCAGTGGAGTCACCAGAGTTCTGGGGGCCTTAGGGCCCGGAATATGGTTCCTCCTCTGAGTGGAGAACTGGGATCGGATGTGTCCGATTCCCGTGGCCAGCAGGATGGCCTATCGGGCAGACAGCCCGTCAGAGGACAGGTGCAGCGGGACGAGCTGTTCGCTCAGATCCCGACTCGTCCTCAGAGGACGCCTCCGAGACATCAACGATCCCCAGAGGACAAGGAGAGCGTCCGATCGCTATTCCCCTTAGATTAGTGCTGTATGGATGCTATTAATTGTCGGTACCTATGTCACAAGGTATAAGGTTCTGGAAGGTCTGGGAACCCTGTCAAGTTCTCTGGCATGTGGTTGTGTGAGTTAGCATGAGGTGTTAAAGGATAAATTTATCAGGTGAGCCATTGTCAGTTATTTTCCATCGGCTTTCCGTAAAACCTTTGGAGCAGCATTACCTCTGGTGAAATGATACCTATGATTCCTGAATATGTCACATCCTGTTGCAACATTTCGCTGCGCTAACCGTTCACCCTTATCTCTGGTCTAATCAACCAGAAGGGCAAATGACCTGGTTCATTGTACGGCTGTTCTTGGATATTGCCACCCTAATGCTGATGCGAGCACTGTGGAAGCTCCACCGGAGATTGAATGATCTGGCCCTGTTACAGCAGACTTCTCCCAGTGAACAGCGACCGCTTGTCGCGTCTGGCGCCGGAGACGTCAGGCACCCGACCAGGTGGCCTGAGTCCTGCACTCTCACTTTCATGGCCTCTGATCATTGACCCAGCTGAGGCGGTCGCTTCATCTCGAACCCAAACGTCCACGTGAGACCAGGGTACAGTTGGTGTTTGGGGTGAGTAATTAAGCGTTAAAACCACAGATGTGCTACCATGCGACTAGGTGTGACCGACCAGCAGTGGCGAGCGAGACCGCTGCACATGCCAGATATACTGGCCGGTGGCCGCCCATACGCGCCCAATATCCGAACCCACACCAGTGTTTCGAGGTGCAATACTCGGACGCTTGTGTTGGCTTCGTAAAGGTGCAACAAAGTTATCGGTCCCACACCCGTACGCCAAGGTAGAGTACTTGGATGCGTGTGTTGGCAAACCGAAACGCAGGGCACACCGCGGTGAGAGAAGGCTACGCTGACCTGTCGATCGTGCACAAGTGCTCCATGCCGGATTCTTGTGTGGCCGTCGACCGTCAAACTGAGCCGAGTTGTGACTAGGGAGAGATCGGACACCGTCGTGTTGCTGGGGCTCACTGTGTGTTTTCAATGCCAAAGCCACTCCGAAACCTTTGACCCTCCTCACACCGGACAGACCGGGAGAGAGAGATCGTGCCCGTTCCAGCTTGACGAACGATCAGCTTGCCACTTGCTATTTGCAGATATCAGTTTTCTATCAATTCCGAGGTTCATAAGGAGAACTATCGCTGTGCTACACCAGGTCACTCTGCTTCTGTGTTACCCAGCAATGAGTTGTTTGTGGCAGTACATAACATAGCAGCCGTAAATGACCAGTGTTACAACCGCCCGTGTCATATCTCCGATTATCCGATCGTATTACACCTATCCGCATGACCCTGAATGACCCTGAATCTTTTGCTACAGATAATCTTGGCCAAAACCACGGTCCAGGATACCTCGGCGGAATGATGCTCCATATCGGCCAAACAAGGACTTTCAGCCGTTCGCTGGCAAGGTCCTACTCGTAGGTTGATGGATTTATTTTACTATTGTGGTGAATAGTAAAAAGTCAAGGGAATACATGCCAGGGAACGAGGACAGAACCCAACGACCCAAAAGAACCAAGTAGTGAGTGAAGTTCAAGTGATCTTCGCTGGTTAATGATATTAGGTAATGGTTGATTCTTGTGTGTGCATGTGTATCACTTTTAGCTGTTTCAGGACGTTAAGCCCCAAAGGTTGGAGCTATTGTGCCTCTATAAAAAAGGGAGGAATGTGAGAAAATCACGGTCGCCGTGAGGTGCGACCCGCGCTGCCGAGGTGCATGATCGAGCTGAACGCGGCCTGTGTCGCCGCCATGGTGGCACAAGGCTCGTAACACCACGCAGCGGCAGCGAGGACCAACTCCAGCTGGCCTTGGCCGAGGCCGGCGCCGTGATGAAACCTCCCCACCCGCACGCACCGGCGAGGCGGCAAGGTGTGGAAATCTACGCACAAGCAGTGCCCGACCCTCGGGACAGAGCGGTGGCGAAACCGGGTCAGCGTGGGACGACACAGCCCACGTCGCACCTACAGCTGTGCCGCGCGGCGTGCGCGCTCTCTTCCACATGAACATTATGCAGTTGATTGTATTAATTGCACGGCCTTGGATCGGAACAGGTTTATATCTTTGTAGCACTGTATAACATATGATTGGCGCCGCGTGACGCGCGCGTTTCTTCGACGTTTAAAATATGTAGTTTATTGTATTTATGTCGTAAGCACTGCATTGGATTGCAACAGTTCTTATTCTTTTGCCTGGAATACGGATCATATTATTTATTGTCTGTTGATAATGGATTACGATGTATTCAACGATAGATACGTGCGTAATAACCTATTGCAGGACCGACATCCACAGACTGCAGGTTGTACAGTACTTCAGAGTGAAATAGGCGAGGGCCTGTGTGTCAAGGAATGTTCAGCATCTTACGATGGTTTCACGGTTTTATCCCAAAGCAGAAAACATGATGCGAAATGCATTATTTGGCGGTTGTATTATGTACGTTTAAAAATGGCAATGTACCATTACGATAAACGATACGGGCCTTCTGGTACAATAAACAATGATGGTGTACCGGGTCGCATTGTTTATTGTGATGATTGTAACTGCTAACAAAATTGTGATCTTAGGTATATCAAGTGTGACCTTTATCATATCTGGTGTTCTGTATGTAGCGCTGTCGTTTTATCGCTTCGTGAGTTACTAGCACTTGTTTCGCATATGATTCAGTTCACGAATAAGAAAGGATTCTTTCGGCCACACATGTAGTTATAGGTATATGTTTGGTCAGGTCAGGTGTGTTATTTGTATATGTTTTACCGCGGACCTTCGGATACTGTGAAAGTGCGCGGGTCGTGACGTCACCCTGCGTGTGACGGTATAAATACGCGCGCGTGGCGTAGGTCGGGGCTCGGCTCTCGGCTCTGGATCGCTCCTGCTCACGCTCGCTGGCACTCGCCCGACTCGACTCGGCCGGGGCAGTGCTCTTGCTCGACCTCGCCACGCTGCGATGTGAGTACCGGTGGGACACCGGTCCAGTCAGGACCTGTTGTGCCCGAGTGACGCAGTAGTGTTTTCGTCACTGCGCGTGTAGCGGGTAACATTGCGCCTGTCTGCCTATTGCCTAGTAACTGTGCTTTTGCACAGTTACTAATCTCATGTCTATAATAGCCTGTAATGTAATATACCTGTTCCAAGGCAAAGCAAATTCTTTGTAGTTTGTAACGTTTACGTCTGAAAGAGACGACTTCTTGAAGAGGTGGTGCTAAAAATAAACTTTCATACTCCTAGACAAACGACCTGCTCAGCAGACACTTCACGCGTGAAGCCAAGCTGGCAAAGTAAAACAATAAAAATTCACACTCCTGAATCCCGATGCTTGTGCACAAGCATCGGGAATGGTGCAGCTGTGTCCAGGGACGGGAGGCAGCCGGCACTAGGAATAGAGCCCGAGTCCTCCTACACTCTAAATATACTAGTATTACCAACTACACGGTACACCACTAGGACCACGTCACACGCGTCACAATGAAAAAGTTCACTTTTAACCCTCGCCCGACGAGGGGGGTTGATGCAACCCCCCTAAGGTTTTTCGCAAATAACGTAAAAACGGCGGCGCGTAGCGCCGCCAAATTTGGCATACCCTCTGGGGCAGCATTTTCGCACCTTTCCTGAAAATTTGAAGTCCCAGTCTTTTCAGGTCAGGTCACCAGGTCACAAAAACCGGTACAAGGACAGGGGAAATTTGGACTAGCTTAGCGGCAACTGAATTCCAGAGTCCACTAAAATTGGTAACAAAGTAGGTATATCATTCGATGCGCACGGACGTCCTGAGTTCACTGGTGCTTTTATGTTTGCTCTATCTTTACCAGGTAAAAAGTTATAAGCGAAAAACTTTTAACATGTTTTAGAAAAATTTTGGCACTCATACCCCCCAAAAGTCAAAACCCCCCTAAATATTGACTTAGAGTCACCAAACTCTCACAGGGGCGAGATCTCCTATGGGCCCACCTACCCTGTAAATTTGGCGTTTCTAAGTGGCATAGGAGCCAATCGCGAGGGGGGGTCGTACCAACCCCCCCCCCCTCGCCGTCCGTGATTATGGAAAAGGCCCTTGCCTGGCGAGGGTTAAGGTTTTGAACTGCAATAGCAGCTTTGTAGCTTGAGCTGACACTAGCACAAATCAGAAACTTTTACAGCCCAACGATCACCCCTGGCAAAGATCTTCCATTCCTCGTTCCTGCATATTCAAGATTCACACCATTTATGACATCATTTAACCCTCGCCCCGTTGGGGGGGGGGCAATTTGCCCCCCTGTGGTTTTTCCTAAATAGCAGAAAAACGGCGGGGCGCAGCGCCGCCAAGTTTTCAGTACTTATCGGGCATCAATTTGACACCTCCACACAAAATTTCAAGTCTTAGGTCACCTTAGGTCAGGAGTTATTGAGGTCAAACTGAGGTCATGTTCGAGCAAAAATGAGCAAAAAACATGAAATTTGGAACGCTCACCAAAGCATGGTGTGTCAAAAGTGGAAATAGCCGGTGCGCCGTCTGGCAACCCGGCAGCCCGCCGCCATAGGGAAATTCATGTTTTTTGTCGCTTGTTCGCTCCTTATGAGTCACTTGATCTAATTAGAGCTTAACTAGGAACGAGGCGGGTCACTTGGACGTATTCGGGAGCCGAATGCGGTGTTTTGGAGCCAATACCTGGGAAACCCTATCCGCCCAATGCGAGTTTTTAAGAGTCTGCATGCCCAAATTAACGTTGAGCGCAGCCGTTTTCGGTCGGTTTTCCGCGACCTTGTGGCGAAATCGCCTTATTTATTCAACCAGGGTGGGCTAATTCGCTTAACTAGGAATGAGGCGTTGAAGAGAATTGTTCAAGGAATAGAGCTGTGCAAAAATATTTTTTGTATTGTTAAAACTGTATCCGCCCTCGAACGATAAATATTGTTGACCCATTAGAAACACATCCCCTGGAATGCGTTTGGACTTGGCTGGATCTAATATTAGCGAGTATCTGCTAATGCAGTTTCTTGGCTTACACAGTACGCACACAAGCACACATACTTCCTGCCCTTGGCCATTCCTCACTTGAATGAAAATTTTGCTGTAATAACTATTCCCAGCAGTTAACAGGTTTTAGTGCAGTGCCAATTCGGAACCGTTCAGCGCCGCCATTCGGCGGCCGGCGGCGGCGCGGCGCCGCCGGCCGCCGCGCCGCCGCTCTGGCAGGGTGTTTGACTTCATATCTCTGTTGCTAGAAAAGTTGTGGACCGATTTACTTGATTCTTGCATGAAAAGATCCGCCATTCAATTCTTAGCAGGTAACGAAAATTTGACGTCAATTGCACGATCCGCTGCCCATATTGTGGTACTGCCATCTATTGACAAGGCTGGCGAACTAAAGCCGGGCGGCTATTTCCACTTTTGACACACCATGCTACAGTAACTTTGCAATTTCAAAGTTCTTTATATGGTCATGTAGAGAAAAGACGGCGCTACAAAACTGCTATCTCGGATTTTCAAAATTTGGATTTTGACCCTTAACAATTCAAAAAACTGATTTTTTTTAGAAAAACGTGCAAAAAAACTAAAAAAATTTGAATTTCAAAAAACCCGGAATATATGTGATAGTCCCTCCGTTCTTCTATCTCTATACCAATTTTTAGATCAATATCTCTATTTTTGGCCAAGTTATAGCGAAAAGACCGTTTAAAATTGATGACGTCAAATTTTTGAACTCAATTTTTGGCAATTCTAGAGCACGTAGCGCAAAACCAAGACCACTATTGAACTCCCCGTGACGAGCTGCATCGAATCGATACCCATTTTATGCAAAATACCAACTTTGAAATTTGACCTAATTTGACCTGACCTTGACCTGACCTTGACCTGACCTTCACCAGAACATAATCTAAACTGACCCCAAGGGCTGCTTGTCCCACATAATCGCATCTGACATTTAAAATGGACCATAAAACATGTATCACATGATACCTTTTTTCATATTGCGACCCCCCAGTGACCTGACCTCTGTGACCTGACCTGGTATCAGTGACCTCAAATAGCAAAATATGTGTTTGACGAACAATACCCCATCGATGATTTTTAATGAAATGCATTTTACTCGATTTTACAACGCATTTCTTGAAATGCCTGTAAACGGTGAAAATTCGACATTTGACCTGAACTGTGACGTCATCGATTTGACCTAGGTCAACAAAATTTGGTCACAAGGTAGTTCCCTGTTGGGGCTATCCAACGCCGTTTGCCGCTTGTCGCTATGTTGTGTGGTTCTCGAGATCTTAGGAGGGGGGGGGGCAAATTCCCCCCCCCCCCAACCGGGCGCGTTGCTCGGGAGACCCCAACGGGGCGCGGGTTAACATTTTATGCTGCCGTCCTGATGGTGATCTGGCAGAAGATGGCAGAAGAGGATCTGGTTAAATACTTTTAGTAGGCCACTTTTTGATAGGTGCTTTGCATTATAGAGTCCAGTGGTGCTTTGGAACTGAATTTTGCGCAGAGGGCACCTATTTGTGTGCCCTTCTGGGCAATGCGAAATAAGCGGACCATTTCCATTATGAATTGAAGATGCTTGCCTGGCTGATTATTGAAGACATGCAGGTTGCAGCTAATTATACCGGTAGCGGACAACACGTTTCGAGTGTGAGATGCCGCCGTTGTGTCGTGAGGACCAGTGACGGATGATTGACGTCACGGGCGTCAGACAGACGGCCGATATTGGGCTGTGACTGATACAGCGCTCGCTGAGTAGCGGGTATGCGCACAATGCCTCAAGGGGCGAATAACTGAGGCTTACACGGGTAAGCACCTGAGCTCATTATTATCGATGAGGCAATGCCAATGGCAGCACAAAAGAATTAGGTGGTCTATCTGGGTCACCGGACTGATACCGGACCGTAACGTTACAGCCGCGGCGGCCGGTGGCACTGATAGACACTCATTCGGGCCTGGTCGACCATAAGCCGTATTTTTCGTATTTATTTGGTAGTAAGCCATATTCGCCAAACATAAAATGTATTGTGCACAAGGTGTGGCTAGTGTCTTCAGTCCTATTGTGCATTCATGAAAGCAAAAAAGCTATACCTACCGTTCTAATTTCTAAATGAATAACTCTCATAGTTTCAGTGAAATCCATTGACCCATAAGCCACACTGACCCCAAGCCATATGCGATCAATTGTGCGCATGAGCTCAGTAAATATTGTTGCAACCTACCTTCCAGCCTCTGCCCAGAACCCGGCTCCATTTGAGACTCAGCTGGCCCTCCTTTAATCCCCTCTCGTGTGAAGTGTGACGCCGCTCGGCTCTCGTGGGAGCTCTCTGTGGGCGCGCTCCCCAGCTCGAGTGCGGCGCGATTCGCCTCACCAGCAGTGCTTATTGCGTTAGGAGCGGGTGGTGGCCGCCATCTATGGAGATTTA